TTTAGCAAGACCTCATCGCAAGGTCTATAATTCAACATCAATAACGATTGCATAGCTGCGCACGACGTTTATCGTGTTTAGTGCGAATCATTGCAATTCGACACATTTAGGTTTGTTTAAGCGTGTTCGAAATGTAAGATATAGATAATAACGTCGCACTTTCATGTAAATTATACACTGAGTGCAGTCTAGCTATCTATTGGTTTATTGCATTCTTCAGATATTCATAAATCCGTGCTTTCAGCCTGCTTACTTGAAACTTTTACTCACTAGGCTATACCTATAGAAAATGATCGCTGCGCTGTATCGGCACCTGTCTAGGTTGCAAGGTGCGCTATTGTTATATTCCTTTTAAAAGATTAGTTAAGTGTCTCAGTCGGAACATAAATCCATCTAAACACAATCAGCAAATTGCTTCTAGGTTCCAATTCTAATCATATCATTTCCAGGTGCCCACTATGCTCTCTCTCTCTCTCGTTCTCGTTCTCTCTCTCTCTCTCTCTCTCTCTCTCTCTCTCTCTCTGCGCGTGCTCGTGATAAAGCATGTCCGTATTTTTTGAGAGGAAAGGGGAGAAGGCTTTTAACAAGATGCCGAGGCAGAAGCATTCGATGCATGTGATTTTATCATTTGCTTACCACTGGTTTGCCGGCGTCTATAAATCTGTGACAGCGGAAGGAAGGGATTTGTGTCATAAATAGATCTAAACTAAATCAGACACCGATGAGTAAGTTTGACGAGCGAGTCTTCTTTGATTTCTTTTGCCGCTCGGAACAAACTGTATCGTGCTGTCTCGTCTTTTTATTTTGATTGCTTACTGCGGCGTTACATTTCTGTCAGTAGTACCGAGAGCAATAGGATTTGGGAAGCGGTATCAGCCGTTACGGTAACATGTCATACAATATTTGTACAAAATAAACATTTCACTGTTCTCTATCACTCTACAGCAGCCTCCGCCGTTTGCCAAAACTCTATACACCTGTGCGCACAGTCTCTCCGCGAGCTGCTGCTGGTTTAGCCTCCGCTTCGCCTCTATTTTACTCACAACATACTCAGAGATATGAAGTACAGTATCTGACGAACCAGAGGGCGTGGCTGTCGGGCTCCTCCCCACGACGGCCCGCCCCTCCCCTGCCTCAGCCAATCACAGAATTGTTTGTTTTCTGGTTGGTTATGTTGTTGGAAATGCAGCAAACGCAATGCACACAGCTGAACACGCACTTTGGTTAGATTTATGTTCACTTCATTTGGTTGTTAGGCTAGTATGTTTAATTTTTAAATATGAAACCCAGATTAGCACTAGTTATTACATTTATTTGTGAAAGGAGTATATTTTGCATGCTAGACACAAAGGTATCAATTATGTAGCAAAGCTACACTCCCTGTGAATCAAATAAAGGAAGAGTTATTGGTTACATCAGTCACACACTGTGCAAATGGACAGGTGCAGAGATTTGAGATATGATAGGGCATGCTGTAGACCAGTTTGTCAACGTTTTGACTATAAAGACTGCTAAACTGATATAATTAAGTGTGTGAAGTGTTTTGGAAGCTCAAATAGTTATTATTATTATTATTCATTGAAATGTAATGTTTTACTTTCTGTATTTTTCATAGTTCATTTTAGCCTTCAAACAGTTATGCCCAAGGAACAATTTGGAAGTAACTTCATATCCCTTTTTAAAAATGATCCCATCTTGAATACCAAACTGCCTCAAATGCCATAGTGCCAAAGGTTTCATTTCTATATTATGTCAGATTTATTAGAGATAATGAAAACATGACTATGTTGCTTCAGGAAACTAAGCATTGCATGTAGTATAATGCATAACGTTTTAAAACTTGGCAAAGCATTATTAGCCAAGTTGTACATATTATTGGATTTAAAAAATGAAAAGCAATGGGGGAAAAAAATATGGGCTTTGGCTTAAAAAACAAATCAATAAAAGCAATGGAAAATAAATAGGTTTGAGAACGAAACCTTTGTTTGATTGCTTTTCAGTAAAGCAGTGGCTTTTTATATCACATTTGATTTGTCATCATTTTGTTTGCATTAAATAAATGGGTTTGCCAACTTATTCCAGTAACCTTTTTATATGGAGACTGCTGTCCAGATACAAGGTGTTGTAGAACCTGACCAGCATTGAATGATTTAATATCTGTTGATCACACCGTTAGCAATTTGATACCGTTTATATTTTGTGTTTGAGATCACACAGCTGCTGCAAAGAGTGAATAGTAAAGGTTAACAAATGGTACAACAAGGTGAATTCCATTGAACTAATTCTACTCAAACTGGCCCTACGAGTAGATTACACCATGCCATCATAACTTAATTGAATAGTGTGTGAGAAGCCATGAAATATATGGCTTTTTAGGAAACTGAGCACTCATTTTTACAGAAACACTGAATGAAGATGGTTAACATCTTAGCAAACATGTGCTCAACAATCTCTTCTCTCTTTCAGTGTGCTGCCTTGGTTGGTGAAGACCAGCCCCTTTGCCCTGACCTGCCTGAGCTTGACCTCTCTGAGCTGGATGTCAGTGACCTCGATGCAGATATTTTTCTGGGAGGACTCAAGTGGTACAGCGACCAATCAGAAATCATTTCCAGTCAGTATGGCAATGAAGCATCGAACCTGTTTGAGGTAAAGAGGGTCATGCGGTGTTTTCTTATCTGATTGTGCATGCTTGTATATTGTAAAATTAGATATGATTCCAGCCTCGTGCAGTTTATTGCGCAAGTGAGGAATTCATCACAAGCTGGGATAGTCAGTCAGTGCAGTTTATTAGCTAAAAACAGAGCTTTACTCAAAGGGAATGAGCATTTATCCATGCTGTCTGATAATTGGGGTGAAGTATTATGATAAGCACCCAACCTTTGTCCAATACTTAAGATCAGTGTTTGTACCTTTTACTACAATCTTGGGTTTGAAACGCTGAAATTTATGGCTGTTTATATGCACTTTCCTCCTGATGTTCCAGAGTAATGTTCAGTAATAAAAGAGAGCAACAGTGTCCGCTCACTTTTTCCAGTGGCCTTGGTTCCGGAAGGAATTTTCCAATTCAGTTTTCCCATAGGGATTTTTTTTTTTAAGTATTCATTTATGAGTTATCAGTCTTAAACCAAACCAACCAGCTATAAGGTGAATCACAACATTACAAACTTGGATTTGAAGCAAAAAAAAAAAAAGTATTTGAAAATTAGTACAAGCTTTTTACACTCTGTGGTGGTAATGGTACCATTTCTCAATGGACAAATCAGTCAAAATCTGATTCATTGAACTCTACTGAACTGATGTTTTTGTTTATTATGCAACTAGTCTGCATCCTCACCTTGATCTAGAGGGTCCATTTTTAACCGGCTTGTTCCTGCCCGGGGTTGTCATGTTGAAAAAGGGAAGAGGTAAAACTTTAAACCTGTTGCACTCGCGCTTCTTCGTCACTGACAAAGAAAACAAAGTCCAGAGGAAAAGAAATGAGGCGGCTGAAACAAAGCAGCCCTGGCCCTGGCTAGTTCGTTATGTCTTATCTGGGCAGATAGAGAAGAGAAATGATAATGCTGCATTGCTCTGAGTGCTTGCAAATATAGTTCAGGGTCTGTCGCCCGATTTGGGGTTTTGTGTCATGGTGTGATTGGGAATTCTTGAAGGACCGTGTGAAACGCTTACCTAGACCGTGTGGTGGGAGCATGATTTTATGGGGCCCACAATTAGGGGTGGCAAAAATTATACTGTATGTGGGTGCATGGTAATTAACATGGCAATACTTTACATGCATTACTGCACATGTAATAGAAGCATGATCCTAATTCAGTGAAATGGGACATGAGGTGTCAATAGTGATGAATGTGTGTATTGGATATGCATTTCCAATACTGGCCTATGTGGGTCAGTACAGTGCCCAAGAGCAGCGTGAAGACAGGTTAATGAATGGCCAGCTCTTGTGTAAAGCTATTTGGCAGGACTTTTTCTTCCTCCCGTTGCACTCATCCAAACCCCTGGCAATGTTTTCTTAACCTGTCTGACTGCAGTATATTTAATGGGTGGCCTTGCGAGTCCTGTGATGTCACACAACAAGCAGGCCACACACGGACATAGAGACTCAACCCACCTGTGCTGTTTAGAGTCTGAGAGACCACAAGGCCATGTTAATAGCTTTTTTAACAGTTTTGCATTATATGTTTTTAATAGTATTCTTTGATTTGTATCTATACATCACAAAAACGGTAAAAACCTACGTTTAATAGTCAGAAAAATCTGTTTTTTTTAAAGGGGTCATATGATGCTGCTAAAAAGAACATTATTTTGTGTATTTGGTGTAATGAAATGTGTTTATGTGGTTTAAAGTAAAAAAAACACATTATTTTCCACATACTGTACATTATTGTTTCTCCTCTATGCCCCGCCTTTTTGAAATTGAAATCGCATCGTATGACCCCTTTAATGTAGAGTTGTTGAACCATTAGACAAAATATAAAAAAGAAATTTGAACTTTGGTGGAAATTCTGGTATTTATATGGTCAAAAGGTAAGATGAAATTCTTATAGCTTGGTAGGCAAATAAAATAAATCTTTATAACAGTAGAACAGACTAGTTACATAAAATGCATATAAATATCATTTGTCACTCTATATTTCAATAGTATGCCTTAGTAAGATATTTAATGCTTAGTTTTATGACCAAAGCTCTGTAGTTATAAAACATGTAATGCAAGGCAGTACAATGATAATTGAGAGATGAACAAATAAACATTCCTCAAAAGCCTGATGATCATATTTGATACATTTTAACATGATTTTTCTAGAAACATATGTATGGATAATCAAGTATATCAAGGTTGCATTTTGAAATATTACTAATAGTATGAAAGTTATCATTAAGTTTACTCAATAAAAATCATTAAATATTTCACAGCAAAAAGACACATGAGCCACGACCTGAAGATGGACTTTTTTTATATATATATATATATATAATTATACTTTACAAAGTTGATAAAAACAGTATGAACCATAAATCAGACGACAGAAGGCATGTAATAGATTGTGTACAAAAGGGTTTGAGCAAAGTTTTGATCATGCTGATAATTTAGAGGCCTTTACATATCAAATATGTGACCCTGGACCACAAAACCAGTCATAACGGTCAATTTTTCGAAATTGAGATTTATACATAATCTGAAAGCTGAATAAATAAGCTTTCCATTGATGTATGGTTTGTTAGGATAGGACAATATTTGGCCGAGATACAACTATTTGAAAA